CAAAATTTAATTATTATATTTTCTAAAAACCCTGTGTGTATAGGGAGGATTTCCATTTTTAGTCTGTAATTACTAGATTACATTTTTAGTCTATTATTACTAGATTTCTAGTAATTACTAAATTACTAGAAATTTTATAATGAGCATAAATTCATGTTATGCTAAATAAGCAAATCTTTCTAAAACTAATATGGTATCTTTACACCTGTTTGCCTAACATTCCAAATAAGATAAAAAAAAAAAAAAAATCACAATAGCAGGGAGCCTCAAGCCTGGTCTGTAAAGGACGTCTGGTACAATCATCCACAGGTCTCAGCACCGGCCCTGACGAGGGATCACAGGTCAACACTGACACCAGACCCAGAGCCAGAATCCACCAATAAAACAACCGAAAGGCAAAGAAGCACTAGGCAACTTTCAGGGAAAAGATAGAAGAAAAGCATCTTTCTGAATTTCCCTTTTCTTACAGGACCTGTTTTTAAAAATTAGCAAATCATCTCCTCTTTTTCAAATGGATGTTCTACAGAAAAATATACCATATGATATTGTATTAGTCCATTTTCACACTGCTGATAAAGACATACCCGAGACTGGGTAATTTATAAAGAAAAAGAAGTTTCATGGACTCTTAGTTCCACGTGGCCGGGGAGGCCTCACAATCATGGTGGAAGGCAAAAGGCGTGTCTTATATGGCGACAGGCAAGAGAGAATGAGAGCCAAGTGAGAGGGGAAACCCCTTATAAAACCATCAGCTCTCGTGAGACTTATTCACTATCACTATAGCAGTATGGGGGAAACCACTCCCATGATTCAATGATCTCCCACCAGGTCCCTCCTGCAACATGTGGGAATTGTAGGAGACACAATTCAAGATGAGATTTGGGTGGGGACACAACCAAACCATATCAGATATTGATACTAATAAAGTTTTACATTTAACAGGAGGAGGAGAAAGGGCATAGCAAATCTATTGGACACACAAGAAGAAAATCTTCTTGAAAAGAGCTGTTTAGGGGCCAAGGTCCTATGTAATTCAGTTATAGAAAAAATAAAATTGAGTCATGAAGCAGTAAATAAGAGAAAAAAGTCAGATTAAGAACATGAAAATAAAGATATGAAGAACATGGGCAGAATTACAAGAAAAAAAAATGGACATACAGAAGACAGGCACAGATACCCATGTATCATGTTATAAAGATGGAACAAACAGAACAAGATTGACAAACAAGGGTATAGTTGAAGAGAGCTTTCAAAAAATATATAAATATGAATGGGATTAGAAAATAAAAGGGTTTCTAGTTTCTTCTTTACTAGAACACAAGATAGTTTCAAATATTTTTTCTTAACAATTGATAATTTTGCTAAGATAAAAAAATTTTAAAGCTTATGGTCCATATTTTAGGTGAGGCTTCTTTACACAAGTGTGACTTTTTATTGTAGGAGTAAGTAAAGCCAATGTAAAGAATTATGAAAGTACGAAGAGAAAAATGTCAATTACAATTTTTGGCCAATGTTGGCACATTTCCTTCTAGACTTTTCTCTATGAAATATACACACAACACACACACACACACACACACACACATTATGACATAAAATGCCTACTAAATTTTGATTCCTACTTTCTTCCCCCTATATAATTCATAGTATGAAATTCTCCTCACAATATAAAAAGCTATATAAACATTTTTTGTGCCTCTATGATCAAGTGGATGGTGTATAATATTTAACTGGTATCTTACTTTAGTGCACTTAAATTGTTTCCAATTGATGGATTGCTATAAACAACTTCACAGTGAAGGTCTTCCTGGAAGAAATCTCAACCCACATCTCTTGAGTATTTTCTAAGGACAGATTCCTAGATGTGGAATTAGTGGGCAAACCACAGGAACTTTTTTCAACTTCTGGTGCATCTCACTTTCCTACATGAGGTGAGCTGCTGATCTGCTGAACAGGGTTAAAAACAGATTTGGGTGGCTATTTTTGACCATGTCTACCAAATGGCCAAGTTTTCTTACATTTGTAGAAGCGTTTAAAGGAATTCTAAGGCCAGGCGCGGTGGCTCATGCCTGTAATCCCACCACTTTGGGAGGCCAAGGCAGGTGGATCACCTGCGGTCAGGAGTTCAAGACCAGCTTAGCTAACATGGTGAAACCAGTCTCTCCTAAAAATATAACATTAGCTGGGCGTGGTGGTGGGCACCTGTAATCGCAGCTGAGGCAGGAGAATCACTTGAACCCAGGAGGTGGACGTTGTAGTGAGCTGAGATCACACCACCGCACTCCAGCCTGGGCCAGAGTGAGACACCGTCTCAGAAAAAAAAAAAAAAAAACTCAGAGTTCTTGCTCCAATGCTCTCAAGACATCCAAAACATTCAAACCAAGAGAGGACTGGAGTGAGGATGGCGTTAGCGCTAAGGCTGAGCAGAGAGGTATTATACAAGGCAGGCAGAGCATCTAGCAGAATAAGGGACTGTGCCCTGGCCACTCATGGAGGTCGTCGAACGGGGCACGTGACCGACAGCAGGGTTGGGAGCTTCGAGGGCAGCACATAGCTGAATTGTTACAGCTGGATATTTTATATGTGAGCACCTTCCCACACAACGCCGTTCCTTTCCTACCAGGCCTGAAGCCTCATCCTTCCAGGCCCCCATTAAAGGCATTCGGACTTCCAAGTCTTCAACATCTTCCTCTTCCCAGATTCCAGTCGAGGACCTTCTGAGTGGCAACAGGGCCCAGAATATGGTCATGGGGTTGACAAAGTGGCAGGGCTAGGCAGGGTGTTGGCGCTATAGACTTTTATACATAGACATTTGAAAGTTGGGGCATCAAATTATTCGGACAATGTAGTCATAGGTTTTTCATTTCTATTTTGAGGAAAAATGTGGAATTTTGCCTTTATCACAGAACAAATCTTGCAAAGCTATGTTCTTCTGACAGCTATGATCTTTTTTCTTGGGAGTCAGGGGTGGGGAAGGCATACAAACAGCCCTCCTAATGAGCCCCTATTCTTTGCCGCTCTCTTAAATCTTTTGTATTCTTAATATGATTATGGTCATGAAGAAAAATCAAAGAGAATGATTTACTTCTACATGTTTCATGATAAAGTACAAACCCTTTACAAAGAAATATTGATATAAGCCACATAAACATTCTGGACTCCTCAATAATTTATTTCAGAACATAAAGAGGTCCTGAAACCAGAAAGTTTGAGAACTACTGCCTTAATCAACATGTGAAAAATCATACAGGCGAGAAATCCTATGAACATACAGTATCTAAAATCTCTGAAGACTGCTCCTCCCTTATTCAACATGTGAGAGTTCACACAAGTTAAAAACCAATAACCTACGAATATAAAGAGGGGAAATCTTTAGCAAAAAGCGTCGTTTAGTAACCAGTAAAGAATTAGTACTAGAGAAACTCCACAAATGTGGCCAATGTGGAGAATTTTCCCCTTGTAGCTTGGAGCTTGATGAAACACGAAAGAACTCGCACTGAGAAGAACCCTACAAGGGCAGACAGTGTGGGAAAACCCACAGCTATAGCTCTTCGCTCTCTCAACATAAGAAGGAACATTCCAGAGAGAAAAACCGTAAGTGCACTAACATGGGAAAACTTTCAGCATCAAAACATTCATATGGGAGACAAACCTTGTTTCTACAAAAGTAATCCACGCAGAAAAGTCACTTTCTTATAGAATAACAAAAAACCTACACAGAACAACCTTTCTTCACAAACAAATGAGAATGAATCTAAGAAAAAAATCACCAAATGCAGGAAGTTGTTTTTGAATGAATCCCACCAAAGGCAACATAATTCAAAAGCACTAAATAAAGACACTAATGGGGAAGGGTTTGCTGAAAAGCATTTTGAAAGATCCAAACCACAAATAGGCATGTAACATTAGAGGATACGTATGCACTATTATAATTTTGTTAACATTTCAATTCACTCAAAACCAGTTACTCAACACCTCCTCTGGGGGCCATGCATGCACCATGTTAAGGCATCTGGTAACAGAGGCAATTCTGAGACGGACAGGCCCTTGCGGGCTATATGCTTGCGTGTGGACCAACTAATTAGGAAGAAAACAGAGGCAGATTTTATCAGATTGAAGATGTTATTAAATAAATCAGGCTATATATCAGTATATAACCTGTTTTATGTTATGCCATAAAAACCATTCCATGACACTATAGACCAGCCTCATTCTAAAATCATTTGCATATTTGGTGTGGCAGAAATATTAAGTTACCAATGTTTAAAAAAATAACCTGAGCAAAGTTAATGAAAAGAAATTAGGCACGACTGTCTAAGTTAATGCAAAACACACAGCGAGAAGATGCCAAATGTTTATGTAAAGATACCTTTAACTCGTTTTGTTACAGGATGACACAGAGATGCTATGTATGCTATGATAAAGTATGCTATGATAAAGTTACATACACCCACAAATACTGACTGGCAGTCAAAGATGGGATGGGTGAGGGAGATTCGTTTCCAAAACACAGCACGGTACAACTCTTCCTCCCACAATCATTGGATTAAATGTTGGCACAAAGTTTAGATATTTCTGCCACATTGTAGATTCTACCCCATTAATTTTGATGCCAAATTTTAATTCACCATCTCCATTCAAGATTTTATGCTGTATGAATATTTTGGAATTTAAAATGCTGACAGTATATCTTCTGGGCAGTCAAAATCAAAAAAGGAATGGAAAGGAGGAATTCAGAAAGGGTTAGGGAAAACTTAGAACATACAAAGGCTAGGAAACAAAGCAGATTATTAACAGAACTTCTAGAATAAAAAGTTTTCCTTTGGTTAGGGTGTTAGGTTGTTAGGCCAGGATGGAAAATTCCCCAAACTCCTTCTTCAACAAGTATTTCAGGAATGTCAATTAAAGTTTCACTTTTATGGAAAGAGTTTTTCCTAAAAAACAAAACCAAAAAAAAAAAAAAAAAACCCCAATATATTAACAGCTTTAATATCAGAAACTTCAATTTTTATATATCTTTATTCTTCAAACTTCATGTCAAATTACAAATAAATAGTCCATACCATGTAGCTCTTTATGATTTACATGTCTTCAGGCAGAAAACAGCAACAACCAAGAATACATCAGAAATGAACTCACAGTAAATAACCAATTTTAAGTAGAGAAAGGATATATGACATTTCAGTGTGGTCCAATATGTACACTGTTTAAAAGTGGATCCCCCTGTAAAACATCACAGATGTACATAATTCTTATGGAAAAAAAGGAGCCCACACATCAGAGATTTCTTAAAAATTTTTCAAAGTTGTATCACAGGGACTAAAAACAGTAAAATCTTGAGTATTTTAGCAGCAAACAAATAAGTTATTACAGGTGAATCTATTTTTAAACGTTGCTGAAAAAGTTGCAAGCTTTAGAGAACATTACAAATATCAAATCCACTAGTGAAAAGCAAAGTAGTATTTAGAAAGTAGATACTACTTCAAGGTTCTGTGTCAGCAAAAACTTCTTAATGCAGTTTCTGCTAAGATAGATGTCAGTGGAGGAGGGGTGGGAGAAAAATGGAGGTGGCCACCAGTCTTTGCTATAAGCTGCTAAACTTACTGGAACATGAAATGTTTACGAATTCTTCATACAGCTTAGCTTATTCCCAGTAAACAATAGTTCTTAAGAGCCATTCTTTTAGATCTATATCCTGTTGTCAAATATTTGTATTAGATTTAGCAATTTGAAATTCCTTAAAGTTTTCCTCCCCAAGTATCTCCTGGTTAAACCAGTGTTTCTTATATGAGTCGTAATTGGGTGGTTTTTTTCATTGAACAATTTTTTCCTCTTGAAAGGGTAATTTTAGAGGATATTATAAGTCACTAAAGATAGTTTTGCTTACAGAGAAATTTGTTGAAAAGGGGACTCTACTTACTTAATTTCATGTTCTACTGTGGCATCTGACACCTGCCAACTGACATTTTAGAACTGAAAGGAATTATAAACTTCATATAGGAAAACAAACCAAACTAGATAAAGTTTAAGCCTGCCTCATTAGATGGTTCAATCAGTGATCAGCTACTCAAGTCACAATTATCAGTATCTCTCCTTTGAAGCATTAACACTTTTTTCCTAGATACAATCTCCTTTTTCAATCATCTGAAAGCAAACAATTATTCTAAAGACAAGGCATCGGAAACAAATTCTCTCCACCCACCAAGATTTAATTTGTAGATCACAACATCCTCATATAGAAGTTCCATTTAATATTTTTACTTCTTCTTGGCAGTTATCCCAAACATTAATATTTAATTATGAAAAGAGAAAAGCATTCAAAACATAATACAAATATACAAGAATACAAGAAAAGTTTAAAACAAAACAAACACTGTATTGTAATGTCTCCACATAGGATGCTTGTGATGTGACCAAACACACACTACATAGTCCTGGCTGCTCCAAACACTCCCCTTACTTTACACAGACCTAGGTTCATCTTTTTTTTTTTTTTCTTTTTACTGCCTTTTGATGCCTACAGTAACTGAGAATCAAGAAAATAACTAGTCTGACATGAAAAATGTGGTGCCTACGATTTAACGCCTGATTTGAGCATATCTTAATTGGTGTACTATTGCTTTTGATAATCCAGAAATAACAGACAAGCAGTAACATATGAAGAGACTTACTATGTATCACACAAGCAATGTTTCTGAATCACAAACAATTTCAACACTGACATCAAAACCTATAAATTAAATCTTAACTCACATGATTATAAAGTTAAATTTTCATGTATCTTAGTGAGAATGCTATTATCAAATGCATTCTAAATTATTTCATTTTCTAGTGTAGAAAGGTTATGGTAGAAAGGATAAGGTGCTTTTTAAATAAGCTACCACTGACTCTCTCACACACATCCATACACGCATCAGTGCAAACTATGAAAAATACTAATTTTCAAATGAGATATATGATTATCTAGACTAAAAGGAGACTTTGGGATAGAATAATTTTCCATGACTAATTTGTTTATAAATATAGATAACTCGATGTACATATAGGCAATGAAATATTCAAAGAATAACTTTATATACTCTTTTAAACTCTATCCTCTCTTTCAGAATTGCTTCCACTTAAGTTTGGACATTTTCTAGTTTCGACAGCTGAATAGAAGACTTCATTGAACATTCTGATAGGAAGCTACTAGAGACTAATTATCAACTGGTGCTACATCTGCTGTGTTATCTCCCTTACTATTAAACTATAACCCTCTCTTGCTATTTTGTTTCATGCATCACCAAACTTCATTTTTTCTAATAAAAAATAAATATATAAAGAAGACACTGACAGGCATATATTCACAAGATCTCAATTTCTTAAAACATAAGTACGGGTATATTTATTTCTCTCAAATGCATACAAGACAATAATTACACAGCAACAAATCTTTTGTTCAACAATGATTTGATTCACAAGCATTTGAAATTTACATAATTTCATATCAATACCCTTGTATTTTTAAATACAGTAAGTAAAAAAGCCCCCAAATAACCAATTCTTATATTTCCTATTTACCCCTCTATACATCCAAACTTTAAAAAGTTACAAACTGAACATTATACAGAACATATAAATCATGTTTAAAAACTTGAGGTTTTAAAATCACTGCTTCCCCGATATGATTCAGAAAAATTCTCATACTGACAAGTACAGTCATAGGTGGTAAAGCAAGTTGGTGGCGGGGAAAATGAAAGAAGAGACAGACACAAGTTTTCTGTCTTAATGTTTTACTAATCCTGTCAGTTAAAAATGGTGACGTCATGAGAATAGTTTAATATGAGGAATGGAGTTTGCCTCGCAGCTTGAGACATGCATTTCAAGTATTTTCCTATTTGATCTGAGCTCACTGTAGCAAACTGATGCCAGAAGAGAGTAATTATTTTCTTCCATACATTCGCTCGATGTCTGCCTGATAATGTGTTTTAAGCTCTTTGCGTTTCAGCTTGAAGGCATCTGTCACCAGACCAGTTTCAGGGGTCCACGGTTCAGGGCTCAAACGAATTTTTACTGGAATTTCAAACTTTTCCAGACTTGCTAAGATGATTTAAAAAAAAAGAAAATGTATTTAAGTTCTTAGCAAATGGTGTCACTTCCCCACTTTTTGAGTACCCATCAAAATGCACAACCAACAAGTGAACCATGCATGTCACTTCTAAAGAATCCACTCCTCAAAATACTAACGTTAAGTAAAACAAGAAACTACTTAACAAGTCCCCACCAAGAGGAAAATGAGCTAAATAAAATATGATAGAGGGACAAAACAGAACATAATTCTATCATTGAAAACGATGGCTCATGCCTGTAATCCCAGGAACTTTGAAGGCTCAGGCAGGAAGATCGCTTGAGCCAGGAATTTGAGGCCAGCCTGGGTAACATAGCGAGACCCTGTCTTGTCTGTAAAATAAATAATTTTTAAAAAATTTTTAATAGAAATAAAAAATAGGAGCTGGGTATAGTGGCATACACTTATAATACCAGTTACTCAGGAGGCTGAGGTGGGAGGATGACTTGAGCCCAGGAGATCTGAAGATGCAGTGAGCTATGATTGTGCTACTGCACTCCAGCCTGGGCAACAGGATATCTAATAGGATATCCAATAGGGTATCCAACAGGTATCCAATAGGGTATCCAATACAGTCATGCATCTCTTAATGACAGGGATATGTTCTGAGAAATGCATCACTTGGCAGTTTTGCCATCATGGGAACAACATAGTGTAACTTACACAAATGTCGATGGTATAGCCTACTATATACATACATGTAGGCTGCATTATATAGCCTATGGCCCCTAGGCTACAAACCTGCACAGCATGTTATTGTACTGAATACCATAGGTAATTGTAACACAATGCTTAAGTGTTTGTGTATTTAAGCATATCTAAACATAGAAAAGGCAGTAAAAATATGATATTATAATCTTATGTGACCACTGTAATATATGCAGCATAAATGCATAATGTTAGGTTTAAAAAAAAAAAAAAAAAGACAAGTTCCAGCACCGGCCACATAAACTTATATGCACCTAGATGTGAGAAGGATACATACACCAAGCTATAAACTTCACGCCTCTAGAGCCTGGTATCCAGGAGAAAAGAAATGGGGAAATTCACTTTTTCCTTTACATCTATTTGTTTTCTTTGAATTTATTATACAGAGCACATTTACTTCAGAAATTAAAAATAATAATGTTTAAGACAAATTATGTCACTGAACCAGGATATTCCCTACAAGCTATGTGGAGACAGAATGATTGCTCACTATTGTGTTCCTAACATATTGCCTAATACTCAGGAGATTCATGAGAGTGCAAATGTAGGGAGAAAGGAAGGGAAGAAAGCAAAGCATTTAAAGGAGATTAAGGGGCAGATGTAGTTTTGAAAAACCGTATGTCATCACTAGGACTGACTTTATTTTTCTAAGCATTCGTTCAACAAATATTAAACACCTATTACTACATGTAAAGTGCTTTACTAAACATTCTTTTAAAAATATAAAAAATGACGAGTTTCTGCTCTCAAGTGGCATGCAATCTAACAAAGGGAAACGGGTAAACAGCTAGCCATATGACACACAAAAGAAATGTGTTAAGGAGTGATGTCAGCAAGATGACAATATAGGAAAAGACAGTCTCTCCTTCCTCTACAGAAACATGGATTTAACAATGCTATATGGGCCTATTTGTTGCCTGTGTAAGAAACTCAGAAACCAGTTTAGAGGTTCCTGCACTCCAGTACAGCAGGAAACCAACCACATCAAAGGCTGATAGAAAAATGCAAGGCATTCGCTTGCCAAAGACTGTCCCCTCAGCACAGTACAAAGTAATAAGGAAGAAATCCCTAACTTCTGACTTCTCCCTAGGGAAGAGGAGGAGAGGAGCATACACCCAATATTCTGACTTCTGTGGTGCAAGGAACTTGCTTCTGTCTTTCCTGAATCTAAATAACAGGAATAGGGCACCAGGTTGGGAACTGTCAAGAACAAAGATTAACATGCACCAGAGGCTGCAGTATCACAGACACTAGGTAGAGCTCCAGTACCAGTACCATGGCTAACTATAGCACCAGTGAGGCCACAATATCACAGACAGACACCAGAGGGAGCTCCTGAGTAGAAACCAGCAGATCTCTTGAATTAGATTGTACCCGACAAACCCAAAAAGGACACAGCCTCAGAAAAGGCTTAGGATGGCTGGCTCTAGAACTCGTAGTAGGGCTGACTGGACAAAGTCCTCTCAATACAAAAGCAGACTGTAAGACAGAGAAAGGTAGCTGATTTTTCAAATTGCTGACATCCCAACAAAAATAAAGACATACAAAGAAATAGAAAAACATAGGCTATCAAAAGATCAAATTAAACCTGCAGAAATAAACCACAGAAAGACATGGAGATAGATGAATTACCAAATTCAAAATCACTGTCATAAGAAAGCTCAATGAATTACAAGAGAGTACAGATAGACACCTGAAAAAAAAAAAACAAGAAAACAATGCATGAACAAAATGAAAATATAAATGAAAGAAATTTTTTTTAAATGAAGAACCAAATAGAAATTCTGGAACTAAATACAATAAATGGATTGAAAAATTCACTAGAGGATCAACAGTGACTTGATCAGGTAGAAAAAAGAATCTATGAACTCAAAGACAGAACTTCTGAAATGAGTAAGAGGAGCAAAAATGTAAAAATGAAGAGAACCTAAGGAACGAATGGGACATCATCAAGTGGAAAATGCTCGCTATAGGGGTTCAGAAAAAGAAGAGGAAAGGAGCACAAAGCCTATTTGAAGATATCATGGCCAAAACCTTCCTATATCTGAGAAGAGAAATGGGAGTATAAATTCAAGAAGCTCAAAACACTCTACTAGGAAGAGAACTACACCAAAACACACTTGTAATCAAGCTGTCAAAAGTCACAAAAAATCTTGAAAGCAGCAAGAGAAAAATGACTAATCACATACAAGAAAGCTCTCACTGAACTATCATTTATCAGCAGAAAGCTGGCAGATTAGAAAGTAGTAGTATTCAAAATACTGAAAGAAAAAAAAATTGCCAAACAAGAACACTGTAACCTAAACCTGTCCTTCAAAAATAAAGGAAAAATTAAGACTCCTTGATAAACAACAGTAGAGGGAGTTTATCACCACTAGACCTGCCCTACAAAAATTAATACTTCAAATTAAAGCAAAATGAAAACAAACAGTAACACAAAACCGTAAGAAACTACAAGACTCCTTGGTAAAGGTAAATACACAGGCAAATACAGAATTCTGACAGTAATCTGATATAGGTGCATAAGTCACATTTAAATCTGTATAGAATTTAAAAAACAAAGACATAAAAAGTAATTATGAATCTATATTAATGACTATACAATAAAAAGGACTTTTTTGAGGGAGTAGCAGAGATAAAGGAGTCAAGTTTTTATATGAGATGGAAGATTAAGCAGTTATCAAACTAAAATAGACTGTTATAATTTTAAGATGTTTTATGTAACTGCATTGACAACCACAAAGAAAATGTCTATAGAACATACACAAAGAAAAAAGACAAGGGAATCAAAGAATGTAATTATACACACAAATAATCAACAAAACAAAAGAAGGCAGCAAGAGAGGAAAAGTTACAAGATATACAGAAAATAGTTAACAAAATGGAAATAGAAATGAAAAGTCTTTCATATCAATAATTACCTGAAATGTAAATGTTGATTAAATGCCCAATTAAAAGATACAGATTGACCAACTGAATATAAAACAAGACTCAAGTATATGTCATCTACAAGAAACACACTCTAGATCTAAGGGCATGCATAGCCTAAAGTGAAGGATGAAAATAGATATTCCATGAAAATAAGAACCTAAAGGGGATGGCCATACTTAAATAAAACAGACTTTAAAACAAAAATTGTCACAAGAGACAAAGAAGGACATTAATTATAATATAATGATAAAAGAGTCAATTCTCCAGGATGATATAACAATTATAAATATACACATAACTTGAGTTTCTAAATATATGAAGCAAACACTGACATAACTGGAGGGGGGAATAGAAAGCAATACAATAACAGTAGAAGACTTCAATACTCCACTTTCATTTATGAGTAGAACAATCAGAAGATCAATAAGAAAATAGATTATATGTAGACAACTCTAAAGACACACACACACAACCTTTATAACCAATAAAGATTCCAGCAAAGTTGCAGGATAAAAAAAAATCAACATGAAAAATCAACTGCATGTCTATACACTAACAGTAACTGTTCTCAAAAAGAAATTAAGAAAACAATACCATTTAATGTAGCATCAAAAAGGATGAAATACTTAGGAATAAACCTAACCAAGGAGGTGAAAGATTTGCACCCTGAAAACTACAAAACGTTGCTAAAAGAAATTTTAAAAGACACAAATAAATGCAAAGTCCTGATAAGGTTTGGTTCTGGGTCCCCACCCAAATCTCATCTCAAATTATAATCCCCATAATCCCCACATGTCAAGGGAGGAACCTGTTGGGAGGTGATTGGATCATGGGTGCGGTTTCCCCATGTTGTTCTCGTGATGGTGAGTGAGATCTCACAAGATCTGACGGTTTTAGGGGCTCTTCCCCCTTCGCCCTCTCTCTTCATTTGCTCTCTCGCCTGCCGCCATGTAAGATGTGTCTTTGCTTCTCTCTCCCTCTCCCCTTCTGCCGTAATTGTATAATAAGTTTTCTGAGGCCTCCCCCAGTCATGCAGAAGTGAGTGAATTAAACCTCTTTCCTTTATAAATTACCCAGTCTCCAGTATGTCTTTATAGCAGTGTGAGAACAGACTAATACATGTTCAGAATTTATAAGAAACTTGTACAACTTAACTACAGGGGTGAGGTTGGGGGGGATCCTGATTTTAAAATGGGCAAAGGACTTGAATTGACAATTTTCTGCAAAAGATACGTAAATGGCCAACAAGTATATATAAGAAGCCCAACGTAACTAATAAAAAGAGAAATGCAAATCAAAAACCACAATGAGGTATCACTTCACGTCTGTTAGAATGGATATTAGAAAAAAATATATATATAACAAATGTTGGTAAGGATGTGGAGAAATGGAAACCCTTAATACTGTTGGTGGGAATGTAAATCAATAGTCATTATGGAACAGAGTACAGAGTTTCCTGAGAAAATTAAATACAGTATTAATAACTGCCATAGGATCTAACAATCTCATTTCTAAGTATACATTCAAAATAATTCAAAGCAGCATCTCAAAGCCATATTTGCACATCTACGTTCATCACAGCATTATTCACAATACCCAAGAGGTAGAAGCAACACAAATGTCTAAACATAGATGAATGGATAAAGAAAATGTGCAATATACATACAATGGAATATTATGCACCTTAAAAAAGAAAAATCCTATCACATGGTACAATATGAATAAACCTGAAGATATGCTACACTAAATAAGTCAGTTACAAAAGAATAAATACTGTATGATTCCACACGTATGAAGTACCTCAAGTAGTCAAAATTTTAGAAACAGAAAGTAAAAAGGTAGAGGGAAGGGAGAGAGGGGGAAGGGGAATTAGTGTAATGGGTATAGTGTTTCAGTTTTGCAAGATGAAATAGTTCTAAAGATCAGTTGTGCAATAATGTAAATACACTAAACACTACTGAATTGTACACTTAAAATGTTAAGACAGTAAATTGAATGTTATGAGATTTTTACTACAATAAAAGAAAGAAATACGCAAAATTAAAGACATAAAGTGCCTTGGGAGTAAAACAAGATGTATTAACTCTAACTTGTAAAAGTAAACATAGAAATAATACACAAGGTTTGAGTCTTCAAAGATTAAAAGTATTTCAGGAGTGGTTTCCAAAGGAATATACACTATGAGCAAAACCAGTAAGGCATGTACCACAGGGCTGACTTAAAAGACTGAGTGGAATCTGACATTACTGAAATGTGAAGAGACTAAAAAGTAAATGCTGGAGCCTGGCATGGTGACACATGCTTGTAGTCCCAGGTACTCAGGAAGCTAAGTTGGGAGGATCGCTGGAGCCAGGCTGGTTCAAGACCAGCCTGGCCAACATAGTGAGACCTCGTCTCAACAACGAAATAAAAAAAAAAATTTTTTTTTTTTTTTTTAATTAGCTTGGCATAGTGGCATGCACTGGTAGTCCTGGCTACTTGGGAGGCTGGGGTGAAGAATCGCTTGAGCCTGGGAGTTCAAGGTTACAGTAAGCTATGATTGTGTCACTGTATTCCGGTTTGGGCAACAGAAGAGACCCTGTCTCTTAAAAAAATAAATAAAAAATAAAAAATAATTCATGTTTGTTTTATGCTTGACCCAACAACTCAAAAGACACAGATGTTTTGATTAAACCAAAAATATTAAACCAGTCTTGGGCACCCCTCACTCCACCAAAAATGGTTATGAAGCTATTAGTACAACCAACTACCAGTACTCTAACATTGTATAAAGTTTCAAAAGGAGTACTGGCCTGATCACTATGGGCTAGTGTGGCCAGGAAACTGGGCAAGGCCTTGAAGAACAGCTGAGAAAAGAGAAAGGGTCAACCCAGAAAGCAAAGGTTGCAGAGACAAGAACATTCAAGATACATGTACATCAGTTTGGTGGGAGAGGAAAATTTGTGTAGCAGGGCTTGAATGGCGGACTGATAAGTTTACTCTTCCATATACTAATGGTAGAAATGGTTTCTGAGCAGAAAGTGATGAACCCTAAACCTTAAAACAGGTTGAATGCATGTAAGTACTCTCTTCCCATCTCAGTTCTTACTATCAGTTTAACCGAATACTCACCTGAAATAGCAGCTTCGGAAAGCACTTTAAGTACCTCATTTTCCATTTCACAACTGTTACACAGCTCCTCCCAAGTCCCTTTAAGTCCTTTCTTTCGAGCTAGTTCAGTTAGTTCCTTTTGATTTGGCACAACAAATCCAATGACGTAAGAATGATAACTGAAATATAGAAAGGATAACTTAGATAAGGAACAAAATGGTATACTGCGTTAACTGCAGTTATTATTGCAGTGACAAGCAGTAAATAACTCACTATTTTTTTTAAATGCATGTGCCATACTTGGCACTGGCATACCCATTTCATGCAACTGCCAGTTTTACTGTTTGACTCATAATATGTTCCAATGCTTTGGCAGAGTTCATTGCTAAATAAATCTCAATCTGACATTTCATGATAAACTTCCACTATGAAAAACTGTTACGAAGAGTGACAGGTACACATTTAAAAAGTTACAAATATTAGAAAATTCATCTTTAAACCTTGATTATCAGTATTTCATAGCACGTGTTTTAAAAAACTTAAAATCTAACATAAATTTAAAACTATCTAAAAAATTCAGCAATGAATCAAAACGACGTGAATATATTCATTTTTTTCTTTTGTTATGAGAATTTGTATTGATAGAGGAACTCTATGCCCATTGAAGGCAGATACTTTTTTGAAGGCCATAAAACAGTAACATCAGGAAGAGGATACTTCTGGTTACTATCACATAAATAAATTCAGAACTGTATCATCACTAAAGAAAATACTAAATGGCTAAAGACTGGAATCATTTATAAATAAATACAATTCATTTCTAACTTAGGCTGTACCCCCAACATCTGTTTCTAAATTAGTTTTTCTGGTAACAGATTTTATTTTCTCATAACAATTCATGTCAACCGTCGTAGACAGGTTCCCAGCACCCTCATCATCATCACGAGGTGGGGATGCTGTGCGTTAGGTTGCAGCTTAACACGGCTTACAGTAGGAGCCCCAAGACCTGCCTGGAGTGCCGAGCAGGCTCAAGTGTAGAGTGGGGGTAAGCACTAAGCAGCACACTGCTCACTGCCACTTCTTTACTCCCCATTCCTCTGAGGTAGTTCTGTGAAGCTTCCCCTCCTGAGGGACAGGTAGGTAGGGATACCAAGGCGGCAGGAAGGAAGGTTTTATTTTCTTCACCTCCCTACATGGGACACTGCAGTGAGACGTAAAGCACAAAACAGACACAGAGCGAAAGATTGGGGAAGCCTTACGAGGAAAGAGTCAGCTAATGGCTGGAATGAGGAGGAGGCTGTTCCCACAAGTAACAGATAGGAAGAGTTCTCGGAACATTTTTACAAAGAAGGTCCATACAGGTAGGAAATGTCTATGGACATCAAATGTTTTAAGCAAAAGCAGTATGAATTCCATGTTCTTACCTGTTTGCATACGCACAAATGTTATCTACTAGTGGAAGATTCTTCAAAGCTGCCTCTACTTTCCCAAGAGAAACATATTCTCCGGCCTGTAGTTTTACGAGGTCTTTTTTACGATCTGCAAAACAGAGAAGAAAGGTGGAGAGGAGAAAACAATGAGTAATAATATTAATAACATTTAATACATATATAAATACTGGCCATTCTCTAAGTAATTTGCTATCAAATTGTTTAAAACTTTGCAAACTTAAGCATTAATGGTTATGCTGAAATTAAAAGCACATATTACAATTAGGCCCTAATTTTTGTACTGCTAAATACATGGTTTTAAAGAAAAACAGGCCAGGTGCAGTGGCTCACACCTGTAATCCCAGAACTTTGGGAGGCCGACGCGGGCAGATCACTAGAGTTCAGGAGTTCGAGACTACCTTGGCCAACATGGTGAAACCCCGTCACTACTAAAAATAAAAAAAATTAGCTGGGCGTGGTGGCGCACACCTGTAATCCCAGCTACTCAGGAGGCTGAGGTAGGAGAATTGCATGAACCCAGGAGGCGGAGGTTGTAGTGAGCTGAGATCATGCCACTGCACTCCAGCCTGGGTGACAGAGCAAGACTACATCTCAAAAAACATAAAGAAAGAAAACCAATTAACTTCTACTTAATGGACTCCATTAGCAGGGCTTCAAGTATGTTCTTCTGAATGAGTTTATTCCTGGTATTCATTAGTACCAGGCAGGTGAGGAAGATATTCAATGCCATCTGCAAGCTCACAATCTATCTGGAGACATGCATAATGCAAAAACATACTACTTCAATACACTGGTACTACAATGGTAGCACTAAGGGTTAAGACTCTCCAACCTGGGGATTCGGAAAAAATTCTTGCAAGTGAGGGCTGAGCTGAGGGTTGGTTGGTTGGTTGGTTGGTTGGTTGGTTTTGAGATTTTGAGACAGGGTCTCACTCTGTTGCCCATACTGGAGTGCAGTGGCACAATCACGGCCTCCCGGGCTCCTGTGATCCTCCCACCTCAGCCCCCTGAGTAGCTGGGATTACAGGCCTGAGTCACTACGCTCAGCCACTTGAGCTGAGTCCTAAGGGAAGAGTGAGAGGTAGTCAGGTGGAACAACACTGGCAAAAGCCAGAAAAACATCACCTCTAATTTCAGCTGCATCAAGGAGGAGGAGGAAACGACTGACGATGAAGGAGAAGATGCGAAGAATGTTAACAAGGGCACCCTGCACTGAGCTTCTAGGAGACATTAAATGGCTGTGGCTGGTAAGATCCGTGTTTAGTGATTACATGGTGGCAGTGAGAGGGTGTGTTTAAGGAGGTAAGCATGGTGACAGAGAAGAAATTCTTGGGAAAGGGTGGCAGAAGGTATATGCCTGACCAATGATCAGGTAAGAGAGACAAAGAGAGAAGAGTAGGATTTTGAGACATAGCTCATAAAATAAACTAGTGAGATATAAAATAGGAACGGGAAGCTGACTGAAGAGAACAGTCTTGAGTCTCCTCCCAGGTTTCCAGTTAGCAAGACAGGGACAGAAATGCCATTAACTTTTTTTTTTTTTTTGGATAGAGTCTTGCTCTGTCGCCCAGGTTGGAGTGCAGTGGTGATCTCTGCTCCCTGCAAGCTCCGCCTCCCAGGTTCACGCCATTCTCCTGCCTCAGCCTCCCCAGTAGCCGGGATTATGGGCGCCCGACAAAGACACCATGCACGGCTAACTGAAATGCAATTAACTTTAAAAAAAAAAAAAAAGAACCTAAAAGGAGAAGCAGAATAAGGTATTTTTCAACCCATATGAGTCACAGCACTTGAGCTGCCTGGCTTTCCTTTGTTCTCCTGGGCAAGGCACAGGTGCAGTTCAGACTGTGAGAGCTCCATCCACTAACCTCTAGATGTCAGAAACGCAGGCAGGAAAGAATGACTAAGGGTTATCTAATAGTAATTTAGAATACCACTGCTGCTGAACCATCTTTGAGAACTCATAACATGTCAGGCCTCATAAATTCCACAGTCCATAATATTTTATATTAAAGGAGTGATGCAACAACCCAAACTAAGATTACATAAAGATTTATATTATTAAACACCTTCTCTAAATACATTGTACCTCTTATGTAAACTATTTCAGAAACATTCATTTTCAAAACTATATTAGACGACTTACCAATAATCTTTAAGCACCCATCAGGATCAAACTCTCCAATATCCCCAGTACAGAGCCACCTCTGTCCATTTTCATCTTCAAAGAAATCAGCTTTTGTTTTTGCTTCATTTTTGTAGTATCCCATTGTCACATTTTGGCCCCCAATAAGAATTTCACCCCTGGGGTGTGGTTTATCAGTATTAAAGTATCCACCTAATAAAATAGTAATTGAGTTAATTATTTTGAGTTGAGCTAAACACAACACATGAAAATTTGAAACTAATAGTTTCTAAATAGAGTCATCTATTTTAATCCAATTAGAACTTCCCAAAGGAAAAAAGGCAGACACTGTGAACGAGCAAAGTTTATCAATTTAACAGTAGGCACAAAATCTCAGCTGCTAAACCATAAGCATTTATGTTTTCAAACTTCTATTCCAAGAAAAAGCCAACATCTTCCATTTGTTGTATAATATTACAAATACAACAGAAGACAAATTTGAAAGATTCTGCATTGTCTTAAATATCATATTGATAAACTGATAAAAGTATTAAGTCATGCAATTAATAGAACAAATTCCTATACAAGAATGAGTTACTGCTGGGCGCAGTGGCTCGTGTGTGTAATCACAGCACTCTGGGAGGCCAAGGAGGGTGGATCGCCTGAGGTCAGGAGTTTGAGGGCAGCCTGGTCAACATGGTGAAACCCCACCTCTACTAAAAATACAATAATTAGCCTGCAGTGGTGGTGCACGCCTGTAATCCCAGCTATTAGGGAGGCTGAGGAAGGAGAATCGCTCAAACTGACGAGGTGGAGATTGCAGTGAGCCAAGACCATTGACACTGCACTCCAGCCTGGGCAACAAGAGCGAAACTCCATGTCAAAAAAAAAAAAAAAAAGTGAGTTACTACATATTAAGATTTATTCTTACAGATAATTTCAAAATGACTCCAGGCCTAAATTTATTAAATATTTTCACTAATTCTGCTAAAGATAGCTAAAAGACATCCAAGCCTTAGAATCTTTATTTATTTATTTATTTATTTATTTTGGAGACAAGAGTCTCACTCTATCGCCCAGGCTAGAGTGCAGTGGTGCAATCTCAGCTCACTGCAACCTCCACCTCCCGGGTTCAAGTGATTCTCCTGCCTCATGAGGCCTCCCGAGTAGCTGGAATTACAGGCACACACCACCACGCCTGGCTAATTTCTGTATTTTTAGTAGAGACAGGGTTTCACCATGTTGGTCAGGCTGGTATCAAACTCCTGACCTCGTGATCCACCCGTCTTGGCCTCCCAAAGTGCTGGGATTACAGGAGTGAGTCACCGTGCCCGGCCAGAATCTTTATCTTTACTTGATCTCTATCTTTACTTGATGTAGAGGAAAGGTGCGTCACAATAACATTTGTGTATTTTGATATTTTGTATATTTTAACAGGATCAAATAAATTTTTAAGTGACCATTACTTTAAATGGCATGAGGATAAACAGACTTTTATGGAATTACAGTGAAAATTTCCTTCTGATAATACAAGGTTGACGCCCTCAGAAAAAAAAAAAGAAAAAAAATTATGTAAAAATCCACAATTTCATAAAATAAATTTTATAATTTTACTTCTGCAAAATAAAGTTACGATCACTCCTAATTTACTGACATTATTCACTTACTAGTACATTTCTCAAGTTTTTGCCACAATTCTCACTTGCATCTATGTAATAAGTAAAATAAAAACAATTACAGTTCCTCAGAAACATCTTTGAAACAAGAAAAATAAATGCATTCATATAGTTCGAGATAAAACACGTCTATTACAAAGGACAAAAATGAGCACTTATGGGTGTTTACATTCTAAAGGAAGAACATGAAGCACTAATTTTAAAGTGATTCTAATTTTAAAGTTTAACACTTTAAAAATTAATGCTCTGTGGTTAAGTTTATTACCTTCCTCCCAGTTTTTTAATTTGATTTCACAGCAAACTAATGGTGCTCCCACTCTGCCAGTATTGTAGTCCCACACTAGGAATTAAATGAAAAAAAAGGTATTTGAGAACAGTAAGATAATACATTGCTTCATTTTTCTAAATTACCAAAAATGATTATTCATCCCAAGGCTGAGATATCCCCAGAGAATCCTTAAAAGCAGAAGTCACATATTAGTGAAGCACAGGCCGTGAGGCCTGTAGAGTCGTACTTTTTGGCCTACATTGAGGGGTTTTTTTTTTTTTAAATTAGTTATTGCCATTCTTAAAAATCAGGAAATTTTAGATGTAAGTGTGGAAGCGCCAGAAACAATGGGCCCACATTTTGGGAACAGCAGAACGGACAGCCTCCATTAGATAGGGCATGCCTGCTCCTGTTCCCCCAGAATCAATCCTTACCCATCACATTGTCTTACATTAGGGCCCACTTGACTCATTTAAATAGGTAGCTGTCTGGTTCATGAGTATGAAGTCCCTGTCCTAAAGGATGATGAAAGCAATGGTTTACATCTATTTTACTTTCTTATTAGGCCTCACAGATGTGCAGTACAAAACACCTCTCTAATCTTTTCCCATGTAATGTATAACCATTTCAAAGTGAGACTTCTGCAGGTTCCATCAGCTTATGCTATCATACCCTGTTTAAAATTAATACAGCAATAGCTCAAGAGGCAGGCTGAAGAAAAAGACTGGTAGCTTTCAAGGATGTGAGGAAAGAACCCTCTACTATTATGAATTACTACTGTATTATGTTTCCTCTTCAAAGACCAAATATCAGAAATGAAAGGCTGATATTTAATGCTTTAAAGACTTTCATTTACAACATAAATTGTTACTGATTAATCATTCAATTTGAATCTTAAAAATAGAAGAAATTAAGGATCCTCGGAAGAAATCCTATAAGCATGTATTTGAAGGTTGCTTATTTCCTACAAAACATGACTTAGAAGTAGCTTCCAAAAATACATAAAACACAGAAAACATAACCAAAAAACAGAAAAATGAAGTAATACATGAAAATGGTATACAGAGGCACTCAAATAGGGAAAAATCAGTTATGAGGTTTTGTATCTATCCATATATAGCAAATACAAAGTAGGAGAAGCATAGCTGTATCTTGTACCGGAAAGCAAAATAACTTTCTCCCATAAAAGGGACACATGAGGCCCTATGCGATTCATCTCAGAACTGCTAATTAGTTGGTAGATCTCCTCCTCAACCACAACCACATGATAAACTCTGGTAATAATATTCCCTAGACCTGAACCTAGCTCCTCTCTAACACTTACAGAAAGCCTCATAAACATTTCTGAACCTGAGCCTTAATATATTTACTACACAAATAAACAAAAGCACTTTAATTTTCCTACAGAAAAATTTAATCACTGATGTGAGAAAATAAATGTAAACAAAACAGTCAATGTTTGTTACTAAAGTTTCTTTTCCAGAATGCTAAGTGGTTTTTAATATTACATATCAGAGTTTGATATAAAAACTTCTCTAGATGAATTATTTACTCTAGATACAGCTAATACATTCTAAAAATTGGTATCAATGATCATAGTACTTGGGATTTACCATTATTCTGCCCCACAAACACCTTACTACTCTTCTCCTATATATTTGCAGAACGTATCCCATACCCCCAACAAAACGTCTGGCATCACACCCCAGCCTCTGATCATGGAGAACACTACCTTCTGTAATTGTTCCGGCCCCAGCAGATTCAGTGAGTCCGTATCCCTGACCAACAGGACAGCAGAAACAGATGTTCATGAACCGCTGCGTGGTTGCAGAAAGTGGAGCGCCACCACACAACAGGAGACGAATATTTCCCCCTAGCAAGCTTCGAACTTTCCGGAAAACAAAGCTAAAGAAAAAAATTAGAGAACCACAGGATTTTAAAACTGAATGGGATTTTCCAAATCACTGAAACTAATCCCCCTGTTTTGATATGAGAGATTTTGAGATGAAGTGACTTATCCAAGGTTACACAGCCAATGTGGAGATTCTCTTGAGCTTCAAATCTTAATTTTTTGTAGTTCAAAAAGGTAAAGAATTTATGATTTCCTCTTAAGAGCTTTTTAATTAATATTAAAATTTGAATTGTCAGGTTTAGTTTTATATAGTGACAGGAAAACCCTTGCTTATAGCCACTTTTATATTATTATTTACATAAAATATTTATCACATATCAATACTGAACAATCTTATCATCTTTATGAAATACATTAAAATCAAATTAATTTTTGCTTTAATGTATTTTATTAGAAATGTGTATAATTTGTATACAACAATCTGTTTTTAAAGTTTCACTAATTCAAGCTTTGACGTGTTTACTGTTAAAAATAATCTAGTAAATTATCTGTGAAGCATCAAAAAAAGGAAACCAGTTAAACATCTAATTGATGTTTCTGAAAACACACTAATAAAAAGATTGCATGCTGCCTTGATCAAAAAGGAGAGGTAGTATCCTCTGGATACCAAAATCCTCAGATGTTTAAGTCCCTTATATAAAACGGCATAGTATTTGCATAAAGCCTACACACATCCTCCAAAATACTTTAAATTATCTCTAGATTACTTACAATACCTAATACAACATAAATGCTATGTAAATAGTTGTTATACTGCATTATTTGTCTTTTTCATTGTATTGTTATGTTCTATTGTTTTTCTCCCCAGAATATTTTTGATCCATGGTTGGTTGAATCTAAAGATGTGGAACCTGTCGATACAGAGGGCCGACTTTATAACTCACTGAAGAAATAAGTAACGTAAGGCAGGATAAAAACTTACAAAGTTCTAAATTATGTGAAGCATCTGAAAACTATATTAATATTCCCATAAAAAATACTTTGAATGTAATACTTCCATTTTCTAACTTCTAAGCTATTTCATGATAAAATCATAAATCTATGTACTCTATTAACACTATACAAATACAGGTTGGAACAAAACTGATCATTTAAAACTTTAAATACAAAACATTTAATTATATTCATACTGAAATAAATATAAAAGCAAAAGAGAAACTATTTCTCAAAATAATTAAAACTACCTAAGTGTTCACAGAAAATATAAACACACAAATAGCAAAATCTTAAGTGAAAACACACTTATAACGACAATGCAGGTTTTTTTAAACTGCTCATACTGTTATACAGGTTTTTGGTTTGCTTGTTTTTTAGAGACAGAGTCTCACTTTCACCCAGGGTGGTGTGCAGTGGTGTAGTCATTGCTCCCAGGCCCAAATGATCCTCCTACTTCAGTCCCTGAAGTAACTGGGATTACAGATACGTGACACCATGCCCAGCTAGGCAGAGGAGTCTTGCTATGTTGCCCAGGCTCGTCTTGAACTCCTGGCCTCAAGCAATCCTCCCACGTCAACATGGATTTCTTTCTTTTCTTTTTTTTTTGAGATGAGTCTCGCGTGCTGTCACCCAGGCTGGAGTGCAGTAGCACGATCTCGCTCACTGCAACCTCTGCCTCCTGAGTTCAAGCGATTCTCCTGTCTCAGCCTCCCTAATAGCTGAGACTATAGGCACATGCCACCACCCCGGCTAATTTTTGTAATTTTAGTAGAGATGGGGTTTTGCCATGTTGGCCAGGCTGGTCTTGAATTCCTGACCTCAGGTGATCTGCCCGCCTTGGCCTCCCAAAGTGCTGAGATTACAAGAGTGAGCCATCGTGTTCAGCCAAGTGGATTTTTTTTTTTTTTTTTTTTTTTTTGAGACCAAGTCTCGCTCTGTCGCCCAGGCTGGAGTACAATGGCGCGATGTCAGCTCACTGCAAGCTCCACCTCCCCGGTTTGCGCCATTCTCCTGCCTCAACCTCCCGAGTAGCTGGGACTACAGGCGCCCGCCACCACGTCCGACTAATTTCTTTTTGTATTTTTAGTAGAGACAGGGTTTCACCATGTTAGTCAGGATGGTCTCGATCTCCTGACCTGGTGATCCGCTCGCCTCAGCCTCTCACAAAGTGCTGGGATTACAGGCGTGAGCCACCGCGCCTGGCCTGGGATGGATTTTTTTAAAGAGTTCTCTTGACTTTATGAAATAAATTTATTTTTTATAACTATCTCAATTAATTGGGCTATTAATGTGAACTAAATGATTAAATCATCAAGGGGAGAAAGAAGGAGGTAGAGAGTCTTTACTTACCTGTTGCACAGTGGAGTATTACGTCCTTTTGAAATCTGTTCCATTTTGTAATTATAGGCCAGAATAAACAGATTACGTTGAAAACTACTCATTTCATTCACTTTATTCATGACATTTTTGTAGATCCGGTCCATGATTTCCTAAATGTATAAAAATGAGTTTTACATAGTTAATAATGATAACAGCTGCCTTACATATTCAAATCTTAGCATCAGATTAATATTTTTAGCAATATTAAGGCATTTTAAAAGACGTATTCTTCAACTGTGGATGTGCTTCAGCAAGAAGAAAAACAATTTTTTGAATTTTTCAAAAAGATGTATCCTATCAAGATCAAACTTTTAAAATAAAGTTTCTACAAAAATTTTTTTTTTTTTTTTTTTTTGAGACGGAGTCTCGCTCTGTTGCCCAGGCCGGAGTGCAGAGGCCGGATCTCAGCTCACTGCAAGCTCCGCCTCCCGGGTTCACGCCATTCTCCTGCCTCAGCCTCCCGAATAGCTGGGACTACAGGCGCCCCGCCACCTCGCCCGGCTAGTTTTTTGTATTTTTTAGTAGAGACAGGGTTTCACGGTGTTAGCCAGGATGGTCTCGATCTCCTGACCTCGTGATCCACCCGTCTCGGCCTCCCAAAGTGCTGGGATTACAGGCTTGAACCACCGCGCCCGGCCAAAAAAATAATTTTTAAAAGCAGAAATATATCTAGATACTCATATAAATTCTAAGATATTAATTCTTTATATTGCTTTGCTTATCTTACTGATTCTGAACTAAAACCTACTCACAAAATAAATGAACAACCATCTGAAATGGTTTTTCAAAATTTCCTAACTTTATCTTATGAAAGTATACAGAACCACATTCTTTGCTCACAAAAAGACCAAGCAGCGTTTTGGGGTTTTTGTTTGGCTCTTTGTCTTTCGATACTGCACCAGGAAGTTTTCCTTGTCTGTGCTGCATTTTGCTGGCTAGTTCCATTACTGTGAAGTACACTTTAATAACTTAAAATAACGTTTCCTCCATAACTTTAAATTATATGTCATTTTTAAGTGAACTAAGAATTTAAGTAGGATACTAAAGAAACTATAATTATAGAAAGAAACTATAAAACTACTGATTATTTATATTTGACTTTGAAGTAACTATGTAATTATTCTTGACATAAGCATTTAGGTATCTGACAATAATTCCCATCATTTCCAAACAAACTCAGCCTATGTTATAAGGAGCCAGAAAATCACTGCTGTCCCATTTCCCTTGACTTATTCCCAGGTCCCTGTATTATGTAAGGACGCACAGCCCCTCTTAAGTCATTCGAAGTTGCACCAGCTTCTCTGTCACTTTGTTTGGTGTTTAGACCACACTTTCCCTGAGGACTCAGGAGGTAACTATACAGCTTGCTTAAAAGGAAGTGATCTCTCACTTTCCCTCCTAGCTCTCAACAGGCTTCAAGTGTCGATGAATTCACAAACAGATGTCATGGAAATAATTTTTTATTTTAACAAGAAGGCATTTAGGGACAGGAGCTGATAATTACATATAGAAGCTGAAATTAAGTTGAGTGCTTAGTAAATAAGAAAGCTAAAGCAGGACTGAAGAAATCCTGTAGCGCCTAAGGCAATATTCATAATCAATAAGGAATAAATCCTACATAAACTACCTTGTCAACAATATATTTTTCACTAGCACTAATGCCTTGTAGCGGGTGATACTTCTTTAATACTCAATATTAAATAAGGGTCACTTCTTACCGGAACTGCTGCCATCAGTGTTGGTTTCAACATGGATGTATCTCCTTTGCTTCCTTTTTTAATTTTTGAAGACTATAAAATAAGAAAAAGTGATCTATAGAAAGTAATCCTTATTTTTAAAATTCAATGGTATTCTTAGATCAAAAAGTCAATTATAAATTATTTTAATGTACTTAGACTATAGTCTAAGAAGCACTTAAAAGGCTAAAGTTCATTTTAAAATGAACCATCGCTCAGTCATAATACACTGTCATACTGACTGAAAAAAACGCATTAAAATTCATTATTTTTTAGTCTTTCAAGTCACAGACACTGAACTTACCTGATCTGCTAAAGTCTGCGGTGAAGAGTAACCAATGCGGCATCCGTGAGACAGACAGACAAGCTCAGCACTTAATTCTAGAACATGGGCCAGAGGCAAATATCCAATGTAGACATCTTCCTCTCTAAAAGAAAAGGGAGGCATCAGAAACAAAAGTCAGGAGCCATCTATGCCAAAAGTGCCCTATAATGGGAGCAAGCCTGAAAGCACATGGAAGGGCCCCAGGCATCAATTTGTTGGTCAAGTGTGCGTGTGTTTGTGAGAGCAAGAGATGAAGAGAGGACAGACAGACGCTGGGGATGTTAGGGAAAAAGAATTACAGTTCAACCTAAAAGCAAGGAGACAGACACGCTCAGGAAGGAGTGCTGTTTCCAGTCCTACTTAAAAGCACTCAGGAATTATAAGCGCTGCTGAAGCAAAAGTACTGAGGCAGAAGCAGCAGTGGCTTAAACAAATAATAATACAGGGTTCTTTTGAAGAACAGAATAAATCATCCAAGGAGGAAATGGTCTTTACATCCAGTGGGTTGCCAACCCACTGCTATTTGCCAGAAATTTTACAGATAAGACTCTTGTTCTGGGAATTGGATTATGTAATAAATGAGAACTTAATATACAGAAAATGTGTATGTATTTGTATATGCTTCAAGAGTTGCCCCCACAACCAAAATATAGACGGCAACTGAGAAAAACCTGTAAGAAAATTGTTGCACTTAATTTTTTCTGAAATGTATGTATACGTAAGAGACATTTCTCCATCCCTAAGTTCAATCCCATAGCAATTACGTGTGTATGTGCGTGTATGTTTGTAATTTCTGTGCATAAAAGCATCAAAAATATCCAACCACTGTACCCTATCAGTCGTCAGAATACCGACTGCATCTCTGGCAATGTTTCTTTGACACTCCCTCAAACTTCCATCTGGTTTCTTCCATCAGTCTCTTTCCCACTCCACTCTACCTTTCCCTGCTACCACTGGAGTTTGTATTAACAAGAAAAATCGGAGACTGAATAGTGAAGCTCAACAAATACTGAGTGGATAATTTAAATTACCCGTTCACCTGAATTGTATTTAGATATAAAAACAACGACAGTGGCAAATACAAGCTGATTAAAACAACTTAAAGGATTTACAACTATAAAAAGTTCTGTACTTTTTAAAACGTATCTATATGATATATTTTCAACCTCACAACTATAACTATTTTGCCATTAATTTTAATCTTCTTTTTTATTTTTTAAGGAAATGCCTACTACAGACTCTGAAGGACTAATTTAGCCGTATGTTAATAAAATGACACAAATGCTAACATTATAACAGACATAAATACTTAACTACTCAATGTTACTTTACTCTGACATACCCCAGTTCTGGAATCCTTTCTGCCATCCCAGTTATACCAGCAATAATGTTACTATGTGAGATCATGACTCCCTTTGGAAGTCCTGTGGATCCACTTGTGTACATGATTACTGCAATATCTGAGGGCAATGGTTTGCTATGAGGTTGGTTTTCTGCATTGAAGAGAAAAAACAAACACATACACTTTTATGAGATTCAGCTGTATCAACAATTTCTTTTCATTATCATTTCAATCAAATAACTCAATCAAATTGAGTTAACTCAATTCAACAAATATTAATTATACTGAGATCAACAAAATAGATCAAGTCCCTTCACTTATGGGAGATATATTCTATTGGGATATACAAACAAATTAACCTATGAAGAAAACTTCATAGCAAGTTTTCCTGCAAGACAAGGTGAGAAGATGACAATGGATGCTATTTGGATGGAAAAGTCTAGACAGCGTCTCTGTAGAGTTTACTTTAGCAAAGGCCTGAATAAAGTGAGGAAGGGAGCCATGAAAACCCTGGAACTGGGAGAAGAATGTTCTAATTAGAAGAAAATAAGGAAATGCAAAGACCCAAAGGTAGGAATGTGCTCAGCATATCTAAAGACCAGCAAGGAGTGTGGCTGGAACAGAGTGAGCAAGAGGAAGAGTGGCAAGAAACAACGGTCAAGTGGCTAGCAGGGACCACACATAGGACCTCAAAGGCCATGGGAAGAACTTTGGAGTATGTTCTGGATGTAAAGCAATGTTGTTTTGAACAAGAGTATGTTATTATCTGTGAAAAAAAGATCACTTTGGCTGCTGTGTGGCTAACTTTAGAAAGGCAAAAAAAGTATCAGGGAGACAAGATTATCCCAGTAATTCAACTAAGAAATAAAGGTAGCTTAGACTAGAGTATCTAGGTGTTTGCTAAAAATCATTCACTGCTTCAGAGTGGTGACTAACTTGGTTACACCCAGAGTCCTGCATTAAAAGACAATGTGAACCATTTGAAATCAGAAGACTACGAGCCTAAGGACAATAGCTGACAAGTTATAGAGGTGGCACAGCAGAAGAACAAAGAGAAATAGGTCATGGTTGGCATTGTTGATACATCTGAACCACTCCCAGAAACACTCTACATGTGGACTTCTAAATGAGTGTGAAAAAATTATTTAAACGTACTCCCAATAGAACACCCTTCCTCTCCTGTCAGTCAAGATATATTTCTTAAATAATATTTACACTTGAAAGTCTTTACTTCCAAATCAGCCCTTCACTCCTTCAATCCACAGCACCCTTCTCCAACACCACCACTTCTTGGAAACTACCATCCTTGTGTCATCTGACCTCTGCATGCAGCCCCTGATCCTGCTGATGACTCACCAAGATCTCCTTTCCCTTGGCTTCCAGGAACCACATACTACTAAATAGTTTCTTCTTTCCTCTCTGACTAGTCCTTGGTACCCTTTGAAGCTACCATTCCCTGTTGGTGACCTCACTCCTTACTCCCACAGCTATAATTAAAGCTAAACCGCTTCCAGCTTCCAAATCTCTAACTCCAAACATAACTCAAGTACTAGACTTGTACATACCACTGTCCACAATATATCTGCATCCAAATATCCCACTACCACTCAAATTCCAGGTGCTTAAAATTTGAGCTAAGTGAATGCTTATATCTAATTAATTACTGTTTCCAACTACAGAGGAAATACAGTTCCAGCATCCCAGCAGCTTTTGCAGTATCTGTAAACACTAGTATACTAGCTAACATTTTCTGACACTTTTTTTAGAGTAGGAACTTCTAGAGTCACCATGCCTAATTGTGCTAGTTGGAGGGTAAGGTTGTCATCCCAGGAAAGGGAAGAACTGGAGCAGGGAGTAAAAGGAGGCCTCCAGGTTTAGCCATTCTGTTAAAACTACTTACAGGTAATTCACATAGGACAAGATTAATGGTATTATTTATAAACTAAATTTAAAACCACCCAAAACTATCATAAAAAGGGAATGAAAAAAATTGAATAATGTAAAATATTTTAAATTTCAAATAAATACTACTTGTAAAACATGAATAATTAATGTTTATATTTTTTCTTAAAACTTTCTTTAAAGACTCAAGTGTACCTAGAGGGACCTGTTTTCCTAACTGATGTTAGAAAACTGATGTGTCATTTGAGCTAACCTCAGGATCAAAACTTTGGCATAATTCTGGAGAATGTGGTCACCAGAAAGCACACGTAAGGAATCAGAAAAGTGTAACATACCCATGCTGGCCTTGGCTCCCAGGGCCTCCACTGCAGCCATGGTATGCACAATGACCCCCTTGGGGAACTCGGACCAGGTTGGTGGCTTTCCATCAACAGTGATGATGTGCCGCAGGCGTGGGACCAGAGAAACTATATCCTAGAAATACACCAACATTCATCGTGTTCATTATTTTTCAAGCAGTTTAGCAAATAAGCAAAGTAGTTTACCATATTCAGTGAATTGTTAAGTAACTTCTTGCCTCAAAAAAGTAAGAAGAAAGGGTACCCTGGCATAATATCACTTTTTACAGACGGGTAAGTATTGGTCTGAATTTAAATTATTTCACAGCATTAGATTCACTGTGTGTACCCCTGGCCTTTGGTAAAACCCTGATCAAGAAAGGTACTGCCTTACAAAATGGGCATGTAAACACATGTTGCCTGAACTGTAGAGAAACCAGAAGCCCCTCATATTTTCAAGAGACTACATAAAAATATATGGGGGAAGGAGGAGAAAATTCACATGTAAACTTGTTCAAAAAGAAAATAGCAGCCCAGATATTTCTGGGAGTTGTCTAGAGACCAAAGAAACCTCTTTTTACTGTAATTTCATTAAAAGGCTCCCTTTTAAATTTTCAAACAATTCTGAAAACTTGTAGTTACTTAATGCTTCAGAAGTAAAATAAAAATTACTAGTTTAAAATATAACCCTTCAAAACTACAAATTTACTACAAGTAAACTAGAAAATAGATGAGCACAATAAAAGAAAAAGTAGTCATAATTTCTTCAATTTAAACATAAGTATCTTAACAATTTATAACACTGGATTACTTATACATGAATATATACAAAATCTACTTTTTATTTTCTAAAGGAAAAAATAAAGTATGATATTCATAAAATTCCACAAAGATTAAGGACTCAAAAGTCATAAAAGAACTAAGTATCAATAATAGGGCTCATGACACTGAAAATTCTAAAATATCAGACAGTTAGTAACTAGAGTCCTCACCTTCAACTTTGTTTGTAAGAGCTCTTTACTAGTAATGATGTTGGTCACCTCTGTTTCATTTAATCCATGAACAATGGCTGGACCTCCTAGAGTAGCATATAATGTAACAACTAAAAGGAAAAGAAGCAGCCAGTCAAATATTAAAACATTTAACTCTATATAAAGTCTCTGAATGTAGAGATGAATCATAATAAAATATTGGGAGCCCTAAACTGTTAAATCCATAGTTTATAAGTGTTATGCTTTTTAAAGTTATCTTATCATACTAATCAACATTACACCTACTCATCCTTCCCTAAATGCCCCAAGATTTCCAATTTTTAAAGATGAAGATATTTACATTTTTATTTTGTTTCACTTACAAATGTTACTCTGGGACTACCATATTGTGAAGAAATTATAACTGATTTCTAAAACTTCAAACTCTTAATTATTGACCACTTGGTTCTATAATGTGAAAAAGAACATATACAAATAGGATGACACACTGAATGTCAGATTTACAGTGTATGTCAAGAGCACAAACAAGTGGCAGTAGCGTTTATTCTCAAGCAAAAATATCTGAAGACAAACATCGTCAGAAATGCTGAAATTACATAACATGAATAATGTAGATTTTTATTTACTTTCTGCCTAACTCAAAAAAGATACAAAAAATGACTTTGAAAATAATTCTTTTAAAGCTCCTCAAAAGAAACAATGTAAATCCAAACCTGTGAAAACAAAAATGGAATGTTTGTTTAAAAGAAAAAGTGGAGGCGGCCAGGCGCGGTGGCTCACGCTTATAATTCCAGCACTTTGGGAGGCCGAGGCGGGCAGATCACGAGGTCAGGATATCAAGACCATCCTGGCCAACATGGTGAAACTCCATCTCTACTAAAAATACAAAAAATTAGCTGGGTGTGGCAGTATGTGCCTGTAGTCCCAGCTACTCGGGAAGGTGAGGGAGGAGAATTGCTTGAACCCGGGAGGCAGAGGCTGCAGTAAACTGAGATTGCGCCACTGCACTCCAGCCTGGCGACAGAGCGAGACTCCATCTCAAAAAAGGAAAAAAAAAAGTGGAGGAATTTACAGCAAGAAATCTGGTGAAAGTGTATTTTGTTTCATCTGAAAGATGAGACTAAACATCCACAAATTACCGTCACATTTTGGCACCCAGACCTCTGAACTTACACTTCCAGAACTATCTCACAGACTGAGCCACCACAATTACCACTCAAATAACTACAATATGAAAACTCTATTGTTTAACCCAGCACCTTGAAGTTCACCAGGTTTCAGTATGGAAGCGTTTTGGAGGTCAACTGTTGTTACTGATAGAGATGACAAAACAAAACGACAGTAACTTCTAAAGAGGATTCCTGAGAAACGGTATTGGAACAATGGCCCCTAAGTGTAGGTCTAGTTCTCAAGACCCTGAAAGTCTCCTATTAAGAGGTGCAAGCCTCACTGCAACATTCATTGGTACAATTTGTCATATAATTGATTTATTTTCCAAAATACACCAAGAATTCCAAGTCACAACAGAGTTCTCCACTAACCGGACACTGGGTGAAAATTAACATCAGAATTTTAACCTCTTCAGAGTAAAGTATTTCAATAAACATCTGTTAGTTCATTTTTCCAGAGGTAAGAAAGTCTACATACGCTGAAAATTATACATAAAACACGCCTGTGCAGCTATCATCCACTCGGCCCTGGTCTCACAGAAGATGGCGATGTTGGTCTTTGGTTTCTGGCCCAACATCTGTAAGCCATTCCCAAAATTCAAGGCTCGAACGAAGACATCTTCATAGGAGAGCCAATTATACTGTCCAAGAATAACCTGACAAAACAAAAGACAAATACCCTTTAATGTAATCAAAATAATAATTTACAAAAAGAAACCAGAATATCGTCCAAATGTTATGATGAACCAGAAAGTTGTTTGCAAAGGATTATTTTTTGAATAAAAAGCTAGAGATTGAGTTTGAGTGAAAAATACATTTTAAAAATGAGCTATTTTGTGACATCTTCTATACAACTTAAATCTTATACTGTAACTGGGGGGTTTTTTGGCTTTATTTTTGGTTTTCAAAAATATTGAGAGTTTGATAGGATCCTAAAAGTCAACTGCCTGGCCAAATGGTCATATACTAATCGTCTACTTACAAATTTCATCTATTTAAATGATTTAGGTGTTAACTTAATATTTAGCCTAGTACCAAGTACCACAGATGCCAAAATTTTAGTTTCTCTCTATTCAGGAATTCCTAAATGTCAGTATCAGATGGTACAATATGATTCACAGAAACTTTCTCTACCCAAGCTAACAGAAATCTTTATGATTGTTGAACTTGAACTGCAGTATCAAACTCTGGATAAGCAAAAGCAAAGTAAACAAGTTTCTGTTTACACAACCAGGTGGACTAGTTATATTATTCAAAGTCCCTCTGTTCAAGCCTTAAATGTTTACTGGCACCACCAGGCTTTCAATATTTTATTTGTTTATCAAAAGTGCTGGTAATATCAAATATGCACTAGTAAAAACTCCCTTTTAAAGTTTTTTAACATATTGTCTTTAGAAAGTTTCCTCAACTTAGACAAAACCCTACATATAGATTGTATAAAATCCTTAATTACATACAGATTGTATAAAAAGTTCCTCTCTCTGCAAAAACATATAGGTGATTAATTCCCAAACACGGCTGTGTCAGTAACATACATCTCAAACACCTTAAAATCATCTGACCATGTTCATTTTATCAATATAAACATTTAAGAAATTTCTAGAAGAGGCTGGATAAAGATAAAAATGGAAAAGGATAAATGCTGCCATCTAGTGTCCCATGCAATTATGTATTTAAGAAATAAATGTTTATTTTGATGGATAAAGCAACTGCATTTAAGATGATACTTATTTACTTTACTGGCCCCAAACTCTCACCTTGCTCTTCACCCCCATGAAATGCTCAGCACAGGGAGCTCCAATGACTTCAAAAGGAGCTCTGTGGGGGTGAGAAGACAGATGAGAACTTGGCCAAAACGTGCAGGAACTGGATTACAATTATTAAGAATGTTACACTCTAAAGGTTAAGAATGCACTACCTTTCAGATTCTAGCATGTAAATGACAGGATTTCTAAATTTCAAAGACTAGGTGTGTTCTGAAAAGGCGTTTGATGTATAATCCAAATATGTAAACTCATGCAATGATGCCACCATGTGGCAAAGGAATCAAATGAGCGTGAAGATTTCCACATATGTAAAGAATAAAATAGAAAAATCTGAAACTCATGATTTTAATTCTTTCAACCACGGAATCATCTAGTAATTATGTTTTTCATAAATATTTCATTTAGAGGACACTACCCACTCTATATTTTATCTGATTTGTGCTGGAAAAGTTTCTAATTCTAACTTTGTCCCTATGGCTAGCCCAAGACAAGATTAAACTATTTATTCCTTGCCAATATCATTGAACACTGCTGCAGAACAGCCAACCTTTAATCCAGGACCTCCACACCCTGAAGCAATCCTATCATACATCCCTGGTCTATTCATTTTCTCACCCTCTGAAATACCTCTGAAACTTTCTCTCTATTCAAATAGCCTCCTCTGGGCAGGTGCAGAGGCTCATGCCTGTAATCCCAACACTTTGGAAGGCTGAGACAGATGACTCATTTGAGGCCAGGAATTTGAGACCAGCCTGGGCAACACAGCAAGATCCCATGTCTAAAAAAGTGTAAAATTAGCCAGGCGTGCAGTACAAGCCTGTTGTCCCAACTACCTAGAAGGCTGAGGCAAAAGGATCACCTGACCCCAGGAACTCAAGGCTGCAGAGAGCTGTGATTATACCACTGTACTCCAGCCTGGGCAAGAGTGAGACTCTGTCTTAAAATACACACACACACACACACACACACACACACACACACACCTTCCACCCTTCCTTCTCTACTTACAGGTGGTAATCTTGTCTCATATCGAAAACCTCTTTAAGCACTAGGACTTGTTTTACTTTCACTATTTAGAAATATTTCAAAATTACACACGTTCCTGCCTTCTTCAGTAAACTACACCTGGCTTCACTTAACCATTCTCTCTGCAACTGAAGATCATGGTGAAAACATTAGTCTGAGGGGAGCCATAGAGTAAAAATATTCAAGAGATCTGGATGGTTGTAATAATCATGATAATGATAATGAGGGTAACTAACCTTTATTAGTGCTTACTACATGCTAAGGACATTGCAAGTGTTAACTTACTAAACTCTTAATCATACCTGTAAAAAACTGTTACTATTATTATCCCTATTTTACACATGAGAATACGGAGATGTAGAGTAAATATAACCTGTTCAAAATCATGTAACTAATAAGTGATGGGACTAGAATATGAACCCAGGCAAACTCATTCCAGAGACTAACCATAAAATCACAATGTTTCCACTGCACTATAGAAAGAAGTCGGGGTCTTATTAAGCAGGTGAGTAAGATGGCCTGATTAACAATTGTGAAAAATCCTTTTTATGCTGTGTGTGAGAGAACTATAGTTGGGGGCAAGTGTGGAAGCAAGGAGGCCTGCTTAAAAAAAGGCGGGGGGAGGCTGTAAGAGATGTAAATCAGACACCCCTGATGTTTTGGCTTCAACAATTTGGTATGCAGTAGTGCCTTTAATAAACAGGATGAAAGGAGAGGGACAGTTTGGATGGGGAAACTAAGAGAAGAGTAACATAATAGCCAGTCTACAAATCCCAGCCAAGAGAGTGACCATAATTTGTTACATACAGCATGATGTAAATGTCCTAATAAATCAGAAAATAAATATTATACACATACACAAACAGGGTAAAAAATGTGACTAGAGTAAGAAATAACACAAAAGATGGCATTAAGAAAGAGGAAAAGAAAAGTAAGTCAACTTACAAGGACATAAATGAGTGTTTCTATTATCTTTTTGGATCAATTTAGAAGGAATGTCAGTGAAGTCTTCTCTAAGTACCATTATTACATAATCCCTCATTCTCTTCTTATTTTTGTAAAATACCTAAGAAAAAATTAAGTGTTTCTGATAGCTCACAAAGTATATGAGCCAGCTGTACTCTTTTCTGTTTCTATTTTTAGTCTTTGCAGCTTTGTTCTATTTCAGGTATACATGTATTTTAAAGTTGTTCTGAAATCATTTCACTGTTCATTTCAAGATTGATGTTAGTGCAATGCATTTACTGCTGGGAACACTGGAATCAGGTGATGCTGACACAGGTTCCAGCTCTTAACTCTGCTACAGTTTTATAAAACCATATGAAACTTAAAAAGAGCCTGAAAAGGCCTGCCAAGCAACCAAGTGCCTTTTGTTTTTCTGTCCCCCCAGAAGAATCTGGTCGCAGTGAAGCTGGTGGCTACTCTATCCTGGACACAATGAGAGCAGGGTCATTGCCACTGTCTTTTTTCGTCCGCTCATCCTCCCCTCAGGACCTCAAAATAGACTGTTGGGATAAGATGGAAACAAAGCTTCAAAGTTCATTAATTTGAAATAAGGCTTGTGCATCTTTCCTTCAACCATATCAGATACAACATTCTGGGGTTAATCCCCAAAAATCTTCCTCAAAAACTATTTTAAATATTGCTACTCCATTCGTTTTATTTTCCAGTTGAAGATGATCTTCAAATATGGAAACTATTTAATGAAGATACACTCCACTGAGCTTGATCAGCCAGCAGGCATTAATGGCAGAAAGTACACAGCTTAACCCATCGGTTGTGAAGTTCCCCTTCTCAACATGCTAGGCAGATGCTGCTACTGACGCAATGCAATGGATGTAACAAGAAACCAAGAGAGGGGAAAACAAAAAAAGAGCCTAACATGTTTAACATGCAGCTGAGATACCCACTCTGCAGTCTGCAGATCACTGCCACAGCTGCAACACAGAATAAACTGAAACTAAGCCTCAGCTAACCAGCGATACTGCACACTTTCTTCTTGAGTATGGCCAAGAGAAAGTACTTGTTTCATTTATTATATGCAAAACCTAAAAATTAATTCTACTTTCCCAATGACCCTAAAGAAAACTATAACATGTTCCCAAGTCAGAGTCTAGACATAGCCTTCTGAACAAAGTCTGATGAACCACAAATGCCAATTTCATAGCAAATGCTAGCAGGCAGATCTGACATATAGAAATTCAGAACCTCCTATACTAACTAAATAAAACTTCACAGTAATGAACAATAGACAAAAAAAAATGCTAAAAACCAATCTGTCTCACTTCCTACCTTTTATGAGTTCAAATACTTCATGCTTTGTTGAATAATGAACGAATACAAAGGCACTATGGTCAAGACAAGCAGGAAAGAGCCACATACACTTACACACGCACATTTAGGGAAGAACTATCATAGCTGTAGGATTTTATTTTGTCCAGTTTAATGACACATGAATTAGGAAGAAATATGAATTCACCACATAAGCATCTCTTCTTTTTACACAATTGAGAACTAGTTTGCTGCTGCACATACTGAATGACGACTGAAAGACAATACTAGCCACATAAAATGAATAAAGTATGTGTGGGATACTGGAGAAAAACTAAGCTTCCTGAAAAATAATATGCTTAGACTAAAAGAGAATCTAACCTTTGCATTCAAATAGCATATCAAAGACCAAAAAATGAATCTATAAGCAGATAGAAAAGTAGGAAACTTTTGCACATAAAAATGTACTGTTTTCAGTACCTTCTCATTAACTACCCGATTTCTCAAACACAGACTCAAGAACAGTGTGCCATAAAAAGAAGTGCTGTTCGGGCGCGGTGGCTCATGCCTGTAATTCCAGCACTTTGGGAGGCCGAGGTGGGCGGATCGCCTGAGGTTGGGAGTTTGAGACCAGCCTGACCAACATGGAGAAACCGTCTCTACTAAAAATACAAAATTAGCCGGACGTGGTGGCACATGCCTGTAATCCCAACGACTCGGGAGGCTGAGGCAGGAGAATCACTTGAACCCAGGAGGCGGAGGTTGCAGTGAGCTGAGATGGCGCCACTGCACTCCAGCCTGGGCAACAAGAGTAAAACTCCGTCTCAAAAAAAAAAAGAGCCGTGCTAAATATGACAAAAGCAAACTTCACTATGATAAAACGTTTTGCAAATTACAATACATAGGCTAGAGAAGAAAAATTGAACATGCTTAACTCATGATTTCAATTTCTAGAAATGGGCTATTAACTTCAGCGAGATCTTAAACAGAAAAAAACTCAGTTTTTTCTAAGTCTGCAAAAGAAATAGGGAATATGCCTTAAAAGTAAGGTGACCATATAACTATCCAAACTAGGGCACTTTTGAGACCGTAAGGGGGCACTGTTAATGTCACAGCAACAAGTATAAATCAGGACTGCTTCCGATAAAGTAAGATATACAACTACTCTATTTAAAGGTGAGGAAATTTACAGATTCTGTTGTCAAGTTAAAATGTTTTTAGTTTCTAGGAATTACTGACATCAACTTGCTTGGCATCTCCTTCATGTTTTGAGGAAAATGATGTATGAAACTTGTGGAAGTGGCAAAATTAATGGGCCATACGGAGGAGGCTAAGCAACATCCCTCTGGCCCTCCAGTAAAAGAGGAGTTCTGAGTTTTTCATTCCATAGTTGCAGTTATTTGAGTTATTTGGACTCTCCTTCAAGATCTGATGGTTTCCTTGTAACTGACAGAAAAAAAGGCAGTTGGAGATCAAGGTAGCTGGAAATGGTTAAAAGATATTAAACCTATTAACTAACCCAGTTATCAACCAACTACACATCACTATACCCCCTCTAAAAAATACTTTATCTTCAATTTTTAACACACTAGAGTTTCAAGAACTGCTTAAGGAAAGTCACATACCCAAGTTCATAAACAGCATTCTCAGGCCATTTCTATACTACCAGTGAAGCACTACACTATTCCATGATCTAATTTTCCTCATTGAATTTTCTACTATAATTTTCCTCAATGAATTCTCAAGATAATAGTAATGCAATAATAAAGGCTAGAGCATTTACATTAAGTGCCACAAACTGTTGTTCTAAGCACATTGCAGATACATACACACACTCAATCCTCACAAGAAGCCTGAAAGCTGTGATCAGTGAAGAATGGAGGGTATGAGTTCTGGAGCCAGAAGGCCTGGATTCTAGTCCCAGCTTCACTAGCTGTAGTGTCCTTGGGGTAGGTTACCTCAACTATCTGTGCCTCAATACTGTCATCTGTAAGGTGAAGACAACAATAACTAACTCATAGGGTAACTGTGAGTCTTAAGATGATATACGTAAAGCTGTTAGAACAGCTTGGCTCTTGAGTGTCAGTAATGATCACTATCTTCATATTACAGAAAAAGAAACTGAGGCAAATTAGTTAAACTACTTTTCCAGGGTCAGAAAGCTAGTAAGCAGCAAAGCCAAGATTCAGACCTATAGTCTGGGTCTGGAGTCCAGGCTCTTAATTGCTGTTACACTGCCTCTAAGAACATCTTGCCCGTTGTTTCAAACCAACAATGGCAGGTTTCTCCACATTTCTGAAAAGAAATGTTTTAAGAACCATGCAATTGCCACAACCAAAGTACAAAGACATGAAGCACTCACTGCAACCCACATCTAAGCCACATTTAACCACATTTAACACAGCAGATCCCACCCTAAAACCTGGAGCCACTTCCAGCACCCAGCTGCTCTAGAGACAGGGAGTATGGTTTCATATCCAAAACTGCCCTAGACATTCCAAACCCTGGTAGACATTGGAGAAAAGCTCCACACCAGCGGGTCGCGATGCCCTTCTGAAAACTCAGAACGTATCAGTGCTGGTAAGTACAGGAAGAAATCAGAAGGCAGTCTAGCCCCCTTCCTACGCTGTTTCTCCTTCAACAGCAAATTCTAATGGAAGCAGACTGTGCCTGCCCTTTACTTCATTTGTAATAGGATATTTTGTTCAGAAAGAATTCAAAGGCAATGAAAGATCACCTTACCTTTTTAAAAATTTTTCCATTTGGTTGTACTTCGTCTTCCTCATTTAAAACTTCACGTGTTCCCAAGAGTCTTTTGTTCTTAAATTTGTTTTTTGCATATGTAAAAACTTTATCTAGAGTATCACATCCAGGGTATAATACTGAAGCCAAACCATCCAAACTATTAACAGATCTGTATGCAGAATCAGGTTTTGAATTTACAGGCTTTGCTTTAATTTGGTTTGATTTTTCTTGTCTTGACTCAGAGAAAAAATAAAATGGAATGTATGTTAAAATAGTATAAAGTGATATTAGAAAATGTATAAAATATAAAAGAATAGGGTTGATGGTATGTTTTAGCTTCATGGTAGATGGTTTTGAAGACACGTGGTTATTCATAAGTACTCAAAAAGAATTAACAGACTTCAGCGAGAATCTAGAAGGAAGAAAAAGAAAGGCGTTAGTTCAAAATCATTTTTAAGTAATTTAAAGAAAAGTTACATCAGCAAATGAAGATTTTTTTTTTTTTCTATCGGACAGCAGCTACTATACTGGTCCCCTACAATGTCTTGATATTTCTAAGAGACTCATTTGTACAGTATCTATTAACAACGGAATTACAAGAAAAGTTTCCACATCATACTGTAGACAGGTGGCCATTCTAACCAAAAAGGTATCCACAAACATTTCCCAGTACTTTTAGTCAGAAAGAGGGTTGGGGGAAGACCAAAAATTTACCCATTTCCTGTGCTTTAGCATCTCACTGCATTAGGGATGACAAGTACTTTACAAATACGACACATCCATCCTCTCTCACAGCCCCAGCAGCCACTGTCCAACAATCGCCGCATTCCATCCCTGTGAACCCCCTTCTCACTCAAGTCAGCAACAAGCAACTGGAGTTTGCAAACACAAAAAATTCATTTTCCACAATGGCTCTACAAATAATTTTCAAGTTAGGTTAAACTATGACGCAGGAAAGCAGTATACTTTGGTCATTCTGTACTTTGCATTCATCAGATTTATTGAAAATCCACTATGTTAGATATCGTTCTAAGCACTGCGAACGTAACAGTAAACAAAACGGCCTAAGTTCCTGCTCTCATGCAACCTACACGTTCACTGGGAGAGGTAGACAAGCAAATACATATGTATGCATGCATGTGTACATGCCAGGTGGTGATGAATGTTATGAGGAGAATAAACCCAGCTAAGGAAAATAGAAAGTGACTGTGGCAACGTTGGAGAGGTGCTAGAGGTAAGTGACATCTGAACAGACTCATAAGGAAGAGAGAGTGTACCCTGTGCCTATTTGGGAAAGAAAGAGCACTCCGGGCAGAGGGGACAGCCATTGTGTGGCAGGTGGGTAATAATACCTTTTTTTTTTTTTTTAAAAGACAAGATCTCACCCAGGATAGAGTACAGTACCAGATTATAGTTCACTGCAGCCTCAAACTCCTGGACTCAAGCGATTCTCTCTCCTCCGGGACTACAGGCATGTGTGACCACACTCAGCTAATTTTTCAAAATTTTTTTGTAGAGACAAGGTCTCATGATGCTGCCCCAGCTAGTCTCAAACTCCTCGTTTCAAGGAATTCTCCCACCTCAGCCTCCCAAAGTGCTGGGATTACAGGTGTGAGCCACCACATCCGGCCATCATTCTTGAAGAAACAAAATTGAAGCAAACTAGTAACTAGTTACCCTACCCAGCTCCACATCCAGGACTACAATTTCTTAACAAGTGATGGAAGCAGCCAGTGTTTTTCACCTCCTACCCCTAGCTCTGTGTTGCAGAAACTCTATTCCAGGCAAGTGTAGATAGATGAGAGAACTAAAGAATCCTTTCTCTTTCATCCAGACCCCACTCTTAGGGCAGAAGCTCTACCCCAGGTGCAGCAGGCCAAGGACACCGAGCACAGATCATCTATGCCTCACCTCTTGTAAGGCAGAGGTTCCATGCAGGCAAAGAAGTTCCAAACAGAGAAGACTGATGGGTACACTGATGGCCTAGTAGACCACTCACAGAACAGATGTAACTATAAGAAAATCAAGCTGCTGTCCCCAGCCCCAGCTCCAGAACAGTGGCACAAAGGTTCTGCACAGACTAGAGAAGCAAGCTGTAAGACCACAGAGCCCCTTAGCAACTTCTAAGACTGACTATATTTGAACAAAGAATGGAGAAGTTCATGCCTAATGGCACTGTCAAAAACAACACAGACTTTGGGGGTCAGCAATTGAGATGAGGCTGCTCAGTAATTTAGGAGGCCAAGGCGGGCGGAACACAAAGTCAGGAGATCGAGACCAGCCTGGCCAACATGGTGAAACCCCATCTCTACTAAAAATACAAAAATTAGCTGAGCGTGATGGTACATGCCTGTAGTCCCAGCTACTCGGGAGGCTGAGGCAGGAGAATCACTTGAACCCGGGAGGTGGAGACCGCAGTGAGGAGAGATCGCGCCACTGCACTCCAGCCTGGCAACAGAGCAAGACTCCATTTAAAAAAGAAAAAAAAAAAAAAAACGAGGCTGGTAGTCCTGTGACAGCACCAAGTGAAAGACTAACCAACACTGTAGAAGTTTCACAAAGAGCCAGGGAAAGAGATACCTAAGCACCCTCCTTCTTGACATGACAAGCCTCAAAGACTGCCCTCAAACACAACCGTATACAAAGGGCATCTTAATTTAATTGGATCACAAGTGGGGAAATTGATGGGCAGAGCTTTGTCCAAAACAATAAAGCAATCAGTTAGCAATTAGTGAAGAATAATTGCTGGGTGGTGATACCCATGAAAGCAGAAGCTTAACAAGGAGATCTGAGAGTTAAAGAAAGCCCTGCTGAAAATCGGCTACCGTGTCTCAAGAAGGGCAGTCCAGGGTGACTATGTGTGTGCCCAAATGTGCCCTCTTGAGGAGAAACATCAGAGGGTACACTGTGCAGAATAAACAAACCTCAGTGTAATAGTTCAGCCACGTCAGTAAACAAATAAGGAAACAACACAACAAGCAGCAGCCCTGGAAGAGGGGAGGGAAAATCGGTATTCTGAGTTGCTACAAAATACCATCTAAAATGCCCAGTTTACAACACAAAATCATGAGGCATGCAAATAGACAGGAAAGTATGACACACGGAAAGAAGGAAAAAGCAGGCAGCAGAAATTGTCCTTGAAGGCCCAGATATCAGACTTAGTAGACAAGACATCAAAGTAGCTATTATAAATACGTTCAAAGAACTAAAAGACTGAATTCTAGCACTCTGGGGAAAAAAAAAAAGAACTAAAGGAAATCATGCATAGTAAAACTCCAAATCGATTTTACAAGTTAAGGAACGCCTCCAAACTTGCTCATGCACAGCTGGTGAGAACTCAGGACTCCAACTGAGCCCCAGGCTCTGTTCACCATTCCAGGCTGTTTTCTTTGACAATGTATTGTGTAGTAATCCAAAGACCGGACCGGTCGAGGGAATTTGGTTTTTGTCATAAAGGTCATGGGGAGACATTAAAGCTTTCTGTACAGGAAAATGGCAAAATGAAAACAAATGGTCTTGCTACACCCAGAACAGAGTTGCAAAGAATAAACATACCCTAATAACCCAGGAGAAAGATGTTATCCAACTAAGTTCTCTAAAATTTAATTTTGCATATTTGTTTTTGAATTAAAAATAATATCGTGGCCAGACATGGTGGCTCATGCCTGCAATCTCAGCTCTTTGGGAGGCCAAGGCAGGCGGACTGCTTGAGCCCAGGAGTTCAAGACCAGCCTGGGCAACATAGTAAAACCTCATCTCTACAAAAAAGAGAAAAATTAGCAGGGTGTGGTGGTGCACACTTGTAGTCCCAGCTACTCGGGAGACTGAGGTGGGAGGATCACCTCAGTCTAGGGAGATCGAGGCTGCAATGAGCTGTGATCATGCCACTGCACTCCAGCTTGGGCAACAAAGCAAGACTCTGTCTGAAAAAAAATTTAAAAATAAAAAAATTAGCCAGATTCCGTGGCTCGTCATGAGGCTGAGACAGGACTGTTTGAGCCCTTACCACCCCTGAACAATCCTTTCCAAAATCTCAGCTGGGACCTAACAAGATGGCAGAAGCTAAAGACCATGTCACAGCTACCTGCCTTAACTGCTGCTGGCAGCAAAGGACTTACAGAGGTCTCCTCCCAAAAACAGCCACTTCGGAGCCCCCTTATTCCACTTAGTTTCCCTGGGGACATAGGATCCTGGTGGCAACATCAAGAAAAATCTGACATCCTACTAAAGGCTGTGGGAGATGTTCCTATTATGAAAACAAAGAAACAGGCAGTAGAGTGAACTCGAACCATCCAAAGACTCCTGGACTTCAACAAAAAAGTTCCTTAAACTTGCAACCTTAGTTGTTTATTTATGTGAGTCAGGCTTTTGCTCTTTCCTTGGACCAGGAATTTGGAACTTTTTATGAGTGTTTCAGCAGTGATGGTAAACTAGTTCTACATTACTGCAAATCTCAGGCATGGGAATGAACCACAGAAAAAAAGAAGTTGCTACTTAAAATGAATTTTCACAGAGGAAATAGCTCTGAAAAGTTCTGAAGCTTTGTAGCAAGAGACTTAACAGACATGACCTATTCAGCATATGTCCACTATGACCTATGTTTATGCCTAAGAAAACATCCACGGCATGAATGGACTCACAACAATGTGATTTGTATTAATATACAAATCATCATAAAAGACTGACATCAGAGTATACCCACCATTCCTATACATTACTATTCTTATTGCCGCAGATCTGCCTCCAAGGTTGAAATGGATACTAAGACTATACAAACTTCATTACCAGTTCTCAAAATGACCAGAATTGTTTTAATGGTAAAAGTTTATTAAAGGGCTTCTTTTTTTAACCTATTCAGGGAACTTCAGTTTGTCTGGGAATATGGGATGTTTACACTTATACCCACTGTGTTACGTTCTTGTAAAAGAGTCATATTGACCTGCTCACTGAATACCTTAAATAGTCCAGTAGAGGGCAGACCTGCTGGCAAAAAGGGTTTTACATCTTTACCACACAGTAATAGGGGGAAAGGTTGTTTTTGTTAATTTTTAGCTAATATCTACCTAGGGAGAGTAAGCATGCTGGGCAAATTGGAAGACTATTTTAGAGAATATACATAGTTTAAATTTATTTCATTGGAATGCAGAAAAAAATTATAAATTCTGGACAAATGACTCATATAATAACTCTTTTCAATTCTATCATTTAATAATTCTTGAGTTCCAATCACATAACTATGGTGTTACTCTGTCATTTATTTACACAGTATCGAAAGTACTCGATAATCCCAGCAACATCTTTGAGTGTTTCACAAGGCATTTTCCAACTTGAAAGTAATCACTAATTGAAAAACAGGCCAGCATGGTGGCTCACAACTGTAATCCCAGATCTCTGGGAGGCCAGGATAAATGGATCACTTGAGCTCAGAAGTTTGAGACCAGCCTGGGAAACATGATGAAACTCTGTCTCTACAAAAACTACAAAAATTAGCCAGGTATGGTGGCACACACCTGCAGTACCAGCTACTCAAGAGGTTGAATGAAGTGGGAGGATGGCTTGACACCAGGAGGTGAAAAGTGCAACAAGTCAAGATCATGCCACTGCCCTCTGGCCTGGGCAACAACAAAGCCAGACCTTCCCTCAAACAGAAAAAGAAAATCAACCTTCGATTTTACATGTATTTCATGCCATGACTAAAACAGTACCATTTTTACTGATGCTACTAGGCTGGTAATTTCCCAAGGTGTGGTTTAACTTTTTTTTCTTCCTTCTGTGTTATATTTGTAATACCACATTGATAGAGGCTAGAAAAATACCTAGGCAGATAGTACCCTATCTGGTCCCTGGTGAAACCTCACCTTCAAGCCTAGAGCAACCTGAAGGTTGAAAGATGGGACTGCTGGTCCAGGGTGAAACCCATCACCCAAAGGGAGAAAGTCTGCCCCCAGTCTGCCCACCGTTTCCTGACTGAGTCTTTCCGAATAATGCCCTGGGGTGGAGTCACCAGGAATTGGAGCCTCATGCAGAGGAGGAGTCTCAGCTCTTCAGCTCCCGTGCGGTGGCCCTGGTATTCAATTTGAGAGGCGGGAACCTGCCGCAGGACCCCTCTCTTTGCTGAGCTTTCCTTCTGCTTCATAAATTCCACCCTACTCAGCCTTCAATGTGTCCACATGCCTTATTTTTTTTTCTGGTCATGTGACAAGAACCTGGATTTAGCTAAACTAAGGAGCAAGAAACCTGCATCAATGTTTTTAAAAGCATTGCAATACATTGAATGGCATGTACAAACAAGATCTAAGGTAATGGTGTGAATGGTATCATTTTATTGAAGGATTTG